CCCCCCCCCACACACACACATACTCAACTCCATTTAGATTAACCCCGTATCAGCGTAGGCCTAAAAGAGGTATGTCAGCGAAGGTCATATAGGCCTCTTGACTAATTTGATTCGTGTCTGATCTACACCCGTCTCGGAGCCCGAATCGCTGACCTCCCTTATCTCGCGGGCAGGCAAGGACTTGGGACTTACCTGAGGCCTAAGAAGAAGAAGAAGAAGAAGAAGAAGAAGAAGGAGGAGAAGAAGAAGAAGATGAAGAAGAAGAAGAAAGAAGAAGAAGAAGAAGAAGAAAGAAGAAGAAGAAGCAGGAAGAAGAGATGAAGAAGAAGAAGAATAAGAAGAAGAAGAAGAAGAAGAAGAAGAAGAAAAAAGAAGAAGCAGAAGAAGAGAAGAAGAAAAGAAGAAGAGAAGAAGAAGAAGAAGATAAGAAGAAGAAGAAGAAGAAGAAGAAGAAGAAGAAGAAGAAGAAGAGAAGAAGAAGAAGAAGAAGCAGAAGCAGAAGAAGAAAAAGAAGAAGCAGAAGAAGAGAAGAAGAAGAGAAGAAGAAAGGAAAAAAGAAGAAGAAGCAAAGAAGAAGAAGAGAAGAAGAAGAGAAGAGAGAAGAAGAAGAAGAAGAAAGATTATGAAAAAAAACATATGCTATAGGCCTAATCTTCTCTTGATCGCTCGGGCTACTAATCTCGATCGCCGCGACGGGTGCCGCTCGGACTATCTGTCTTGTCGCCTGCCTACCTGCCTGCCTGTCTGTCTGCCAGTCTTTCTGTCTGCCTGTCTGTCTGGCCTGTCTGTCTGCCATTTTTCTGTATGCCTGTCTGCCGTCTGCCTGCCTGTCTGCTTTCTGTCTGTCTGCCAGTCTTTCTGTCTGCCAGTCTTTCTGTCTGTCTGCCATTTTTTCTGTATGCCTGTCTGCCTGTCTGCCAGTCTTTCTGTCTGTCTGCCAGTCTTTCTGTATGTCTGTCTGACTGCCTATCTGTCTGCCAGTCTTTCTGTATGCCTGTCTGTCTGCCCTGTATCCTGCCTGCCTGCCTGTCTATCTGTGTCTATCTGTCAGTCTTTCTGTATGCCTGTCTGCCTGCCTGTCTATCTGTCAGTCTTTCTGTATGCCTGTCCTGTCTCTTTCTGTGCCGTCTGCCGTCCTGCCTGCCTGTCTACCAATTCTTTCTGTACATCTACCTGCCTGCCTGCCTAAGCTACTTGTGTCTCGCGTCGGCTTCCTGATACCCTAACTCTCGCGGCACGCAGACCCTGATACCTGATCCTCTATGACTCATCTTGCTGACGGACTTACTGCATGCCTCCGATTGCATGATAAATTGCATGGACGATCGGCAACTGCTGACGGTGACGACGCGGGTTGCGAGAGAAAAAAAAATATGGAACAGTGAATAAGAATGTGGAGGAAGACAGAAGGGGGGAAAATACTAAGAAGAGACGATAGAAAAGGAAATAGAAGGAGAGGGGCGAGCGAAAAAGAGAGAGGAAAGAAGAGAGAAGAGGAGGTAGAAAAGAAGGAAGGAGAGGCAGAAAAGATGGAAGGAGAGGAAGAAAAGATGGAGAAGAAAAAAAAGATGGAAGGAAAGGGATAAAACATGGAAGGAGAAACAGAAACGATGGAAAGAGAGGAAGAAAAGATGGAAGGGGAAGAAGAAACGAAAAGAGAGCAGAAAAGGGAAGAGAAGCAGAAAGAAGGAAGGAGGAGAAAACGATGAAGAGAAGCAGAAACGAAGGAAGGAGAGGAAGAAAATATAAAAGAGAAGCAGAAACAGGAGAAGCAGAAACGATGGAGAGAGGGAAAAGATGGACGGAGAGGGAGAGGGAGAGGGACAGGCGTGAGAAGAGAGGGGCGCAACCAAGCGTAAACGCACTTTTACTGGGTCACTTAAGTATATCACAATATTTTAACCTGTTTAAAACTGGTTCTGGTATAAGTCTTGTTTGGTTAGTAGCGGTCGCCACGCCCACGCGTGCGCTAGGGCATGTGTACCACACACACGGGCATGGGCAAGACACATATACTAAACAGACACAGACACACAGACAGACAGACCACACACACACACACATACATACACACACACACACAACACACACACACACACACACATACGCAGGCAAGCAGACAGACAGACACACACATACAGACCGATATGGCCACTGGCGACATCGACCTCGCGAGTACCTCCCCCCCCCCCTCCTCTGACCTCTGCGAGCGGCCTCTGACCCCTCGCGAGCAGTCAGATGGGGCGCTCTGACCGGCGACGCCCTTGTAAAGCCTCTTAACGCTATTTGCCCCCTCCTCCCCACCCCTCTCTCTGTCTCCCCTATTCTTAACTTTCCTTCCCCCATGATCTCACCCATCCCTCCCTCTCTCCCTTTCCCCCTCTCCCTCTCCCTCTTCCTCCTCCCCCCTCTTCTCTCTTCCCCCTCTATCTCTCCCCCTCCCCTTCTTCTCCCCCTCCCCCTCTATTCTCTCTCTCTCTCTCTCTCCCCCTCCCTTCTTTCATCCTCTTTTTATCGTTTACGCTCTAATCTGATCACAGTAGTCGTTTTCATATTCATATACTGATGAGTATAGGCCCGCCAGCTCTACTTGGTCCGCGCCCAAACCATTCCATTCTCTCCTCTCTCCCCTCCTCTTCCTTCCCTTCTTTCTTCCACCTTCCTATCCTACTTCCTTCCTTCCTTCCTTCCTTCCCTCCTCCTTCCTCCCCCCCCTTCCTTCCCTCCTCCCTCCTCCCTCTCTCTCTCTCTTTCTCTCTCTCCTCTCTCTCTCTCTCTCTCTCTCTCTCTCTCTCTCTCTCTCTCTCTCTCTCTCTCTCTCTCTCTCTCTTCGTATTTCCTTATCTCCCTACCTCCCTTTTTCTCTTTTACCTTCTTTATTTATTTATCTTCCTATCTCCATATCTCCCTCTCTTCATATCTCTCTCTTCTCTCCTTATCTCCCTCTCTCCCCTATCTCTCTCTCCCTCCCTCCCTCGATCACGCTCTTGTTCTCTCCTCTCCCTTTTTTTTTCTCTCGTACCTCCACACCATTGTTATGGTTGTCTACTTTTTTCCCTCCTCATTTTTTTCTTTTTCTGTGACGAGTAAATGGAGGTGTTGTTTAGACATGATTTGTCCACGTCTGACTGTCTGTCTCTGTCTGTTTATTTCTCTTCCTCGCCTTCCCCTTTCTCCCTCCTTCCTACCCATCTACCCTCCCTCATTCCCTCTTTCCATACAGCCAGCCACCTACCAACCCTCTCCCTCCCTTCTACCCTCCTCCCTTCCTTCCATCCTTCCACCTATCCACTACCCCCTCCCTCCACCCTTCCTTTTTTCCCATATACCCCCTCCCTCCCTTCCATCCGGTCCCCCACCACCAACTCCTCCTCCCTCCCTCCCCACCCCCCCCACCCTCCCTCCCCCTCCCTCCCTTCCAGCCACCACCAACACCCCCCTCCTTCCACCCCCACCCACCAACCACCCACCCCACCCACCACCTCCCCCTCCATCCCTCCACCCCACCCACCCACCCGCCACCTCCCCCTCCAATCCCTCCGGCAATTTTCAGCTGCAATCGGCCTTGTTGAGCCCGCAATGAATACCTCAGTATCAATAACCCGCGAGAGTGAGTCGCCCCCCCCCCCCGGTTCATGCTCTGCGAGGACGTATGCAAATGAAGGCTGGAGGACAGGGTGGGTGGGGTTGGGGGGGTAAGGAGGGAAGGAGGGAAGGCGAGGGTGGGGGGGGTATGGAGGAAAGGAGGCAGGAGAGGGATGGGGGGGGAGGGGTAGGAGTGAAAACAGGGAGGGAAGGCGAGGGGTGGAAACTGGAGGGAAGGTGAGGGTGGGGGGGGAAGAAGGGAGGAGGGTAGAAACAGAGGGAGGAAGGGGGGATGGAAACAGGGAGGGAGAGGAAGAGTGTATAAACAGGGAGGAAGGGAGGGAGGGAGGGAAGGTGGAAACAGGGAGGGAGGGGGGTGGAAACAGGGAGGGAAGGAGAGGGGGGAGTGGAAACAGGGGAGGAAGGGAGGGAAGAGGGTATAAACAGGGAGAAAGGGAGATGGGAGAGAAGAGGGATGGAGGAAGGGGTGATAAAAAGGGGCAAGTATGGGGTGGAAATAGGGGAGGCATGGGAGGGGGAATGGAAACAGGGAGGGAGGGAGGGAGGCCGAGGAGTGTGACAGAAAGGAAGAGAGGAAAAATAGTAATAGGCTAGGAAAAGAGAAAGAGGGGGAAGGGGAGGAAGGAAAACGCGATGAAGTACAAGAAAAAAAAAGAAATAGCGAAGAGGACGAGGATTAAGGAAAATAGGAAATGACACGGGATAATCTAAAAAATAAAATAGCACGGAAAAACAGACAAGAAAAGAGACTCCCCAAGAAAAAAAAGAAAAGAAAACAAGACGGGAAACGAGAAACAAATGAAAGAGGCCAAGGAAGTGGAAAGAAAAAAAAAAGAAAAAACAAAGGAAAAAAAACAATACGACGACGACCCAAGAACAGAAAACGAAAACGCAAAAAAAAAAAAATAATAATAATAAACCAGAAAAATAACGAACGAACGAAAACGCAAAAATAATAATAATAATAATAATAATAATAATAATATATAAAACCAGAAAAATAACGAGCGAGCGAGCGAGCAAGAATGGCTAAGCCAGAGTGGAGTTATTTAATTAACAACAGAGCGCCGTGGAGTGCGGTGGGCCACGCGGGGCAGGACCAGCGGAGGGCCCGGCGATCCCGGAGTTCCTGCCGAGTCCTTTACGAGCTTCCAGGGGAGTCCTCCGAGAGTTCCCTGCGAGTTCCGGAGCGGCGGGGGTCTAGGCGGGGGATTCGGTGCTGACGGAGGGGCGAAGGGTTCAGTGCAGGTGGGGGATTCACTGCTGGAGAAGGACTCACTATTGGAGACGGATTCACTGGTGGAGAAGGACTCACTAATGGAGAAGGATTCACTGGTGGAGAAGGACTCAATATTGGAGACGGATTCACTGGTGGAGGGGATTCGCTGCTGGAGAAGGATTCGGTGCTGGCGAAGGGGCGAAGGGTTCAGTGCTGGTGGGGGATTCACTGGTGGAGAAGGATTCACTGTTGGAAAAGAATTCACTCGTGGATAACTCAGTGCTGGCGAAGGGTTCAGAGTTGGTGGAGAAGGATTCACTGCTGGAGAAGGATTCACTGTTGGAGAAGGATTCACTGTTGGAGAAGGATTCACTGCTGGAGAAGGATTCACTGTTGGAGGAGTCAGTGCTGGCGAAGGGTTCACTGCTGGAGAAGGATTCACTGCGGAAAGGATTACAGATGGAGAAGGATTCACTGCTGGCGAAGGGTTCAGAGCTGGCGGGGATTCATTGGCGGAGAATGATTCACAGATGGAGAAGGATTCACTGCTGGCGGGTATTCACTGCTGGAGGAGGACTCAGTGCTGGCGAAGGATTCACTGCTGGAGAAGGATTCACAGATGGAGAAGGATTCACTGCTGGCGGGTATTCACTGGTGGAGGACTCAGATTCAGTGCTGGCGAAGGGTTCAGAGCTGGCGGGGATTCACCGGGGGAGTCAGGGGCGGCGGGCGCGGACTGTGTCGTGACGAGCAGAATAATGGGGGCAATGAAACGGGAAATTAGGCGGTTTGATTGGAATTCGTTCTCATGTCGGGCTTTGCTTTTTGTAATCCCCTCCCCCTCCCCCCTCCCCCACCTACTCGCTCCCTCTGTCTCCGTCTCTCTCACTTCATTTCACTCATTTCACTTCACTTCCCTACCCTACCTCCCCTCCCTTCCCTCTCCTCTCCTCCCTTCCTTCCCTCCCCTTCCTTCCCTCCCTCCCCTCCCTTCCTCCCCTCTCCCCTTCCCCTTCCCTCTCCTCCCTCTTCCCTTCCCCTCCTTCCTTCCCTTCCCCTATCCTCCCCTTCCTTTCTCCTTCCTCCCCTTCTTTACTTTACCTTTCTCAGATTCTTTCCCTTTCCTGTCCTTTCCTGAAGAGAACCGGAAAAAGAAAAAAAAATGGAAGGAAAATTATTAGGAGAAAGAAGGAAGGGCAGAAGTGCGGATGGATGGGAAAAAAGAAAAAAAATGAAACGAAAAAGAAGGTGGATAATATAAAAAGAGGAGGAGGAAGAGGAGGAGAAGAAGACTATGGATGGGAAACCGAGAAAGTGAAAAGAGTCCATCTATCTCTTTATATTCACTAAACACAACAACAACAGCAACAAAAACAACAAAAACAAGAACATCACAAATAACAAAACAAAACAACAAAATATCAACAAAACATCAACAACAAAAACAAACAACAACAAAAACAAAACAACAAAACAACAACAACAACACCGCTAACGTGCTCGCCAATTTCGATGCCACTCCCGTCTTCTTCATCCGCCTCTGTGCTCCCTTTTTCTCTCCCTTCCTGGCTCCTCTTCTCTCCATGCTCACTCTTTCGTTCTCCTTTTACACTACTCCTTTTTTTCTTTCTGCCTTTTTTTTGGCTCCTTCTCCTCCTCCTCATCACAGCCTATAAGGACCAGACCTGATCCATATTTTACCGGGGATTTGTGTGCCAGGTGTTCGTGGTCGTCGTCCTCCTCCTCCTCCAGATCGGAGGTGGTCGTCTCTTCTCCTTCTCTTCTCTTCTCTTCTCTCCTTTCTTCTTCTTCTTCTTCTTCTTCTTCTTCTTCTTCTTCTCCTCTCCTCCTCCTCGTCCTTGTCCTCCTCCTCCTCCTCTCCTTATCCTCCTCCTCCTCCTCATCCTCCTCCTCCTCGTCCCTCCTCTACCTCCTCCTCGTCCTCCACCTCCACCCTCCCCCTCCCCGTTTCCCTTTCTAGCTCCCCCCTAATTCCATTTACCATTTTTTCTTCTGTGTTTTTCTTTCTTTTTCTTCCCTATTTTTACTCCCGCTTCTTACCGTCGCCCCCGAAGTGCGAACGCCTCCTTTTGTCCGTGATATTTGCGTCTCCCAAGGAGGTCGAGGCCAACTAATGAGGGTACTTTCTCTGTCTGTCTCTGTCTGTCTGTTTTTCTTTTTTTTCTGTCTCGTTTTCTTCTTTCTTTCTCTTCGTTTGGCTCCCCGCACCTCTCTCTCCCTCCCCAGGTCCACCTCGCTCCTCCTCGCCGTATTTCATCCTCCTCCTCCATCATCTTCACCGCCATCCCTCTTCTTCCTTCATCTCCCCTTCGCCCCTACCCATCTCTCTCCCCCTCCTCCCCCTGCCCTCCTCTTCCTCCCTCCCCCTCTCCTCCTCCCTCCTATTCCCTTTCCCCCTCCTCCCCCTTCACCTCCTCCTCCTCCCCCTCCCCTCCCTCCTCTTCCTCCTCCTATCCCATCTCCCCTCCTCCTCCTCCTCCTCCTCCTCCTCCTCCTCCTCCCCCTCCCCTCCCTCCCCTCCCTCCCTCCTCCTCCTCCCCTCCCCACTTATTCCCTCCTCCTATCCTCCCTTCCCCTCCTCCTATCCTCCTCCTCCCCCCTTCAAAAACCTCTGACCGACCACCACGACCACCTCTCACCCCCCCGGCCGTCCCGACGCGAGCGCCCGCATCCACCGTCCTCCCGGGTAAACAAACACACGAGAGCGTAAACGGTCCGCCGTCCGTCTCCAAACAGCACAAAACCCCAAAAGGCAGGGCTGGGTTGCGAGGGGGAAGGGGAAGGAAGGATAAGGTAGGATAAGGAAGGGTAGGGAAGGGGTATGGGGTAGGGTGGGTAGGGAAGGGGTAGGGTAGGGGTAAGGGGTAGTGGTGGGGGTGGGGTAGCGTTGGGTTGGGTGGGTAGGGGTATGGGGTAGGGTGGGTAGGTGGGGTGGGGTAGGGTAGGGAAAAGTAGGGGACGAAAGGTGTAGGATAGGGGTAGGTAGGGTAGGGTAGCGTGGGTTGGGGTAGTGTAGGGGGTAGATGTTGGGTTGGATAGAGTAGTAGGGGTAGGGTAGGAGTAGGGCAGGGTATGGCCGAAAAAATAGGGAAAGGGAAGCGAAGGGAAGGGAAGAAGAGAGAAGGAAACAGAATGGAAGGGAGAAGGAAACAAATGAGATGAGAGACAATACAAAAACGACGGTATGCAAGATGAAGGAAAGAAGAAGGGAAAAGACGGATGAAACATAAAATCACGGGGCTACCTATCAACCCGCCACCATGGCCACGGCCGCAAAACGTTTACAATCCCAACCGCGCCGACCGCAAACGTTTAGCCATTCATCGAGCGGACCGCAAATATTCACTCATTGGTCACCCCCGCGAGAGCAAAACAACACCTTTGACTTCTTTTTTTTTATTCCTTTTACGACTTCCCCGCTCCTTCTCGCGGGGCAAGACAACGCCGAAGAAAGAGAAAAAAAGGGAAACAGGAGGAGGAGGTAATAAAAGCAACATAATGAGCCAATTCCTCTCCTGTGCACAAAGCAGAAACAATCGGGAGAAGAGGGTCGCCTCTGGACCGCGATTTGGGGGGGGGGGGGGGGGTCGGGTCGTTTGTTGTTTGTCAGTTGTTCTTGTTCTAGTGTTGTTTTAATTGTTTTTGCTTTTTGTTGTTCTCATTGTTGTTGTTTTACTTGCTTTTGTTTTTTGTTGTTCATATTTTGTTTTAATTGTTATTTTAATTGCTTTTGTTGTTTTTGTTCCTCTTATTTTGTTGTTTTAATTGCTTTTGTTGTTTTTGTTCCTCTTATTTTGTTGTTCTACTTGCTTTTGTTTTTGTTCATGTTATTTTGTTGTTTAATTGTTTTTGTTTCTGTTGTTCTTATTTTTGTTTTAATTGCTTTTGTTCTTTGTTATTTTGTTGTTTTACTTGTTTTTGTCTTTTTGTTTCATTTTGTTGTTTTACTTGCTTTTGTTTTTGTTGTTCCCATTTTGTTGTTGTTTTACTTGCTTTTGTGTTTATTCTTATTTTGTTGTTTAATTGTTTTTGTTTTTTGTTGTTTTAATTGATTTTGTTTGTTTTTGTTGTTTCATTTTTTTGTTGTTTAATTGATTTTCTTTGTTTTGTTCTTGTTAGCTGCTTGTTGTTGTTGTTGCTGTTTGTATTGTTCTACTTCTTTTTCTTGTTCGTTTTCTCCTTCTTTGTCGTCTTCGTCTTCTTCTTCTTCTTCTTCTTCTTTTCTTCTTCTTCTTCTTCTTCTTCTTGCTTCTTAAATTCTTTCTTCTTCTTCTTCTTCTTCTTCTTCTTCTTCGCGCTAATCCAGTTACTCAACAGATTAAGCAAACTACCACGGATCAACAATTTAATATCCGGAAAAATAACCTCCGACGTGCAAACACTGCCATTTATTCTATTTACGATGACCTCGCCTCTGGGCCGGATGACCTATCGCCCGGCCGCCTTCAGCGTTTTCTTGACCTCCAGCGCGGGATCCTCTTCATTCATCGCGTATTTTGAGAGAGGGAGGGAGGGAGGGAGAGGGAGAGGGGAGGGAGGGAGAGGAGGGAGGAGAGGAGGGAGAGAGAGAGAGAGAGAGAGAGAGAGAGAGAGAGAGAGAGAGAGAGAGAGAGAGAGAAGAGAGAGAGAGAGAGAGAGAGAGAGAGAGAGAGAGAGACAGACAGAGACAAAAAGAAAGAGAGAAAAAGGAAAAAGAGGGAAAGGAGGGTGGGAGGGAAGAAAATAGGGAGTGAGGACAGAAAAGTCTTTATCAAAAACATTTAGACACCGAGAGGAAGAGGAAGAGAGCGAATGGAGCAGAAGAGGAGGAGACGCTAAAGAACGAGACCCGGCAGAAGAAAGAAAGAGTCACCTGGCACAGACACGACCCAAAAAAAAGGGGGGGGGGCGGGGGGCCGGGGGGAGCGTCGCACGAAAGGCTACATCATCCAAAAGTGCTTGGGAACGATAATGATAAGCCGCTGATTAATTGCGTCTGTCATTACGGACAAGTTTTATCGGGGGGGGGGGGGGGTCCTCGGTGTCGCGTAATTATACCGTCTCTTATTCGATATGCTAATTTATGTGGGGGGGGGAGGGGGGGGCGGGTATCTTGCTCTTTGTTTTGTTGTTGTTTTTTTTGCGGGTGTGGTTGTCGTTGGCGTTGAGGGTGTAGGTGTTGCGGGGGGGGGGGGGGGAGAGAAGATAATAGGTGTTGGTGGTGGCGCTGGTGTTGTGTGGTGTGGGGCGGGGCTGGTGTAGTGTGTTGGTAACGCAGGCTTGTCGTTTGGTGTCTAGACTTGCCTCCCCCCCCCCCTTTTTTTTTTTTTTTTTTTTTTTTTTTTTACTTACCGCGAGGAAGAAAGGAGACAAAAAAACGTTAATTAAGAGCTGAGGTCTCGGCGGGGCTCGGCGCGGGGGGGAGAGGGAGAATTGGTTCGGATGAGCGGGTCGGCTAAATTATGTGTGGGTGTGTGCGGGTATGTGTACACGTACAAGCACTCGTACGGGCATTGGTGCTGATGCAGATACGGACAGGCAAGCATATGCACACTTTTATCCCTGAACAACACTTCCTCTCTCTCCTCTCCCTCTCCCTCTCTCCCTTCTCTCCGCTCCTCTCCTCTCCCTCTCCTTCTCCTTCTCCCCTCCCTCTCCCTCCTCCTTCTCCCTCCCATTCCCACTAACCACCTTATCTCCTCCTCCAAACCACCGCCCTCCTCCGCCAACACCTTCCCTCTTCCCTTCGGTATCAACAGACGCCCACTGCCGTCAATTCTCGCCTTCGCAATCCTGTTCTCCACACTCACTCTAACACCCTCCCCCCTCGCTACCCTCCTCCCTCTTTCTCCCCTCCTCCCTCCTCCCTCTTTCTCCCCTCTCCCCTCTCCCCCCCTCCTCCCTCTTTCTCCCCTCCCTCCCCCCTCCCTCCCTCTTTCTCCCCTCCTCCCCCCTCCCTCCCTCCTCCCTCCTTCCCCTCCTCCTCCCTGCTTTCTCCTCCTCGTCCCCCCTCCCTCCCTCCCTTCCCTCCTCTTTCTCCCCTCCTTCCCCCCCTCCCTCCCTCCCTCCTCCTCCCCTCCTCCCCCCTCCTCCCCTTTTCTCCCCTCCTTCCGCCTCTCCTCCCTCTTTCTTCCTCCCTCCCTCCTATCTCCCTCCTCCGCCCCCCTATCCTCTCCCTCTCTTCTCACCTCCTGCTCCTCTTTCTCCTCCTTCTCCCCCCCCTCCTATCTCCGCCGTTCAGTTACTAGCTCATTCAAGCCCTTTAAATATAGTCACAATCGCCTATTTCCTCTCCCTCTCTCGCCTCCTATCTCTCTTTTCTCCCTTTCTTTCTTTTTCTCTTCTCTTCGCCGCTGCCTTTATCATCTCGTGCTCTCCCTCTGTATCTTCCGGTATTTGTCGCTTCCTCTTTTTTCTTCTTCTTCCTTGGGTTTCATCCTGTCTGTCTCTGTCCTCCTTTTTCTTCTTCCTTGGTTCATCTTTCTGTCTCTCTCTGTCCTCCTACTTACGCGTTTATCGGCTTTACGTGTGTCTCTCTCTCCCTGCCTGACTGGCTTTTTTGGCGGTGTCCCTTTCCCTCTCCTCTGTACTTGTCGCACGCACATAAACATTTTTTTTTTACCAACGTACATTGCCTGCACGCACTTGCAAAAAAGAAGAAGAGAAGAAGAAAAAGAAGATGGTGATGAAAAGA